GAATGACAACTACCCTCTCCCATGCCAAGGAGGGGATAGTGGCACCGGGGAGGGCCCGTGCACCCCACCGTGAGCTCAGTGCACTCCTGGGGCTGAGCAGTGCCATGTGGAGCAGAGTTCATGTCACCCACCTCCCTGCGCAGCACTCGCAGCTGGCGAGATGGCCATGGAGCTATGTGATAGCAGGAACACACCGTGCTCCGAGTGCTCACACTGAGCCACAAGCAGTCAATCATGGGGTCATGACCAGCCCATTATTAACGTATTAATATCGCAATTTATAAACACATATCTGAGTGGTGTGGGCACGAGGAGGAACCAGAAGGGTTACTCATGGTGCAGGCAATATCCCTTAGTTACCCGCTCTGTAAGCAGTAGGGTGACACGGTGGGCTCCTGCTCAGCCCAGGCAGGTGGAGGGGCCAGGCGAAGAGAGCTTCCACCTGCCCAGGCTGCAGGAGGGGAGGTTTGAGGCTTTTGAAGAGTAGAGACAGGCACAGCAGGACACCAGGACTTCACCTGGGCAACAGCTGACCTCAGTAGGATGCAGAAGAGGGAATATTACAGTTGACCAAATACTCATTGAATTACAAATGCAAAAAAAGGGCTTCACTGCTGAGGCTGTTGGAGGGGACAGCCGAAGCAGAGGCGATGAGGGTGAGCACGGCTCTGGGGGAGCCTACCGGGGTGTTACGGCAGTTCAGCAGAGCTACCGGACCAGGCACAGCAGCAGCAGGAAAACAGACTTTGAGGAATTAATGAGCCTGGTGGGAGGAAGTGCTAAAATCCACCAGGAGAAGAGGCAGCAGGAGAATCCTAAACAAATCCATCATGATTACATCTGCAAGGCTATGGCTGAAATAGAGAATGGAAGGAAAGGGCTGCAGAGAGGGCTGAGACTTAGAGACCTCGCAGCAGATAAGGAAATGTGGAGGCAGTCAGCAAAGCAGCTCAGCTTCATCAGCCTTGTGGGGAAAAGGGATGAATGCAGGGGCAGCAAAACGGACCTAAACCAAAGGCTCAGAGGGCTTGTGCAGATACACTGTCTGCTGTGCAGCAGCATCTCCATGCCCCACAGTGGTCACGGCTCCACTGTGCCAGATGTCATGGCATGAGACAGCCTCTGCCAAGCACTGCTCCTCTCCAATTTAGTCCAAACTTGATCCTAACTCTGTCCTGTTGAATTCAAGGTGGGAGGAGAGGAGAGGATGAGGCTTGGCATTTATCTGTCAGATTGCTGCCTCTCAGCTCTGTCGTTCCTCACAGGACAGGGAAGAGCTGGGTGCGGGGAGGCAGTGAAACCAAGGATGCCCTGGAGCAGGCACACGGCTACCTGCCTGTGAGTCTGCCAGAGATGTGTCCTAGCTTATCAAAAACCTGAGCAAAGGCCAATGGAAGATCTCGTTAGGATCTTGTGGCTGCTAGACCAGACACCAAAGAAGTCAGCAAAGCTCTTACTGTATTGCTGACAGTCCTTCTGAAGGGTTTGGGACCCAGGAGAGCCAGCAGACTGTGAGGGCTGAGGAAGGGGAGCGGGGCCTGACCACGGGGATCGACTACTAGAGCCAGCACTGCACTGCACAACACCTAGCAGGGGATGGCAGGATGATAACGCATGAGGCCCAGGAGGGCATGTATGCTGAGGACTGGAAAGACTGCGCTGCGGGATGACAGCGAGGATAACAGAGGCAGCTGGCAAGATACCCGGAGGGTGGCTTACTGAACCCAGGGACACCCATGCCCAGGGACACCCAGTGATCTCTTCTTGCACTCTGAGGATGACAGCCCCCATCCCATCATTTCCAGTTCATTCAATGATCCAGTGTAGCTCGACAAGTTCCACAAGCACTGCTAACACATGAGACCCCACCAGTCCCCTCCAGTACCTGCATCCAGCCCAGGTATGGCCATGGACCGCTCCTTTCCAGCCCTCAGCAGAGGCAAGGCACCGTTCTGCCTCCAAAGGGCCCTGCTACCTACCTGGCCTGCGTCAGCCCATCTGCCCCAAGGACCCTGCTCGAACTGTTGGGTAGGTGTTTGGGTGATGGCCAGAACGCCACAATGCCTGCACCGCACACCCTTGATGTCAGTCCCTGCCTCTACAGCACAAGGAGCCAGGCAGGGGAGACGACGCAGACCACATGCCCTGTGACTGCAATGTGAAAGGGGCTTTTAAGTCCCTAGAAATCTCCAAGCAGATGCTCCAACATGCACTTGTATCCTGAACCCCCTCAAAGATGAGCTGAGCACTGAACCCCGCAACCACAGCCTCTGCACTAGCCCCTCTTCCCGGTGTCTGCCTCCATAGCAGATGTGCCTACCTTGGCATCCAGGATGCTCGTCTCCACCCGGGCCACCCCCTGGTTCTCCCTGAACAGCTGGATCTTGCTGACCTTGCTGAACTCCGACAGCACCGTGGTGAGGTTGGTCTTCAGGTCGATGACGTGGCTGATGCCGTGCCGGGGTCCCACCAGAAGCGTGGTGGCTGGTTGCTTCTCATCCTGGTAGCACGAGCACATGGAGAAAGACAGACGGACAGGGTGAATAAACACACCCTGAGGCTGCATGGGCTGCACCCGGCTCTCTCTGTGGAGCCAAGCGTCAATGTTGGCAGCTCAGCTGGGTCCCAGATGGCTTTTGCAGAGCAGCAGGTGAAGCTGATGCAATGAACCCCGCTCCCTGAGCCTCTCTGCAGAGCTGGGAATGGTGTGCAGGATGCCAAGGCTACTTAAAAATAAAGCACTGAACTGACTGTCCACATGAAATATTCAGGCCTGCTGGTGTCACTACAGAAAGATAAGAGCATGTTACAGATCTGCCTGATTTGATATTGCCTCTGAGAGAAGGAAGCAGAGGAGGGAGTGAATGCATTTTAGAAAAGAAGAAAGACTAAAGCCTTGACTGAAAATAGAGATCTTTCTTGCTCTGGTCTGCCCAGGAAGGATGCTTCAAGCCAGACCTGGAGGTGAAGGGGAGCTGGGCAGACCGGTGCGGAAGAGAGTAACAGAATACTTTTTACCACTTATATGTGGTTCAACTCCTAGGCTGGCTCAGAGTCATTGCTTTGGTGTCAGAGATGAAAAAAAAGGCAGGGCAGCCACACCAGAGATGAGTTGCCCAACACTGCACACCCAGGCAGTGTCGGAAGCAGGCTCCGACCGCTCAGCCACGGCACTGACCAGGCACCACGTGGTTCTCTGTCTTCACCGATTTCCTACAGACAGCTCTTCCTTCACCCTTTACTACAGCCTCCCTACTGCGAGGTGAGGAGCTCAGAGGCACGGTGGAAGCAGAGCAGATCAAAGTCTGGAAGAGATGGAACCCAGGAGGCAAAGCAAGGGAAGCCAGGGAAGTGCTGAGACCTTGGTTGAGGGTAAAGGGAAGGATGGCAGAGAAGTGACACTTGGATGGAGAGCCCTGGATGGGAGGTGAGCCAGGCAGCAGGGAGCCTTAGCAGGCCCACGATGCTCCTGTTTGACTTCATGTCTTTCCTCCTGCCATGGAGAAAGTGAGGTGGCTTGGGTGAGGGGTGGAGATGCCTCTGATGGAGATGAGGGAGGAGTGGGCCATGGTGATGGCAGCTTCCTGAGAGCTGCCAAGCAGCAGTCAGGCTGGACCACTGCTAACAGAGATGGTAAGGCGCGCCGGGCTATTCTCTGCGTGGACAAGCAGGGAACGAGGTGGCCTTTGCCAAAGGTGGCCCTCCTCTGAGATGGATGGCAGGATCCTGCCAGGGCAGGATCGAGCTATAAGCACGTGTCTGAAACTACTCTGACTTCCCTGAGCAGGTCATCTTGTTGCCCAAAAGGCTGGCAAGAACAGAGCCGACCCTGACTCTGCAGAGCTGAAGATCTGACCTACTGCCAGCAGAGACTCTGAAGGCTTTTCTGGATGGGTTTAGACCCCAGCGAGCCAGAGCAAGAGGCCAAGGGAAGTAATTTCTGTGGGAGCCACATCACCCCTGGCTCTCCCCTCCAGCATGCACCCAGGACCAGTGCCAAGCACCTCCCAGCCCATCCTGAATTACCGTACCAGTCCTACTGTGTTGAAGAGGACCCCAGCAAAGGTGGGCAGCTCGTTCAGGATCCTGAGGTACTGCAGCTTCGCCTGGGCTGTGGAGACCTGACAAAACACATCACACGGGTGATCACTACCAGCACAAGGGGGAAGAAATGCAAGAGGCTGGCGCAAACTTGGGAGCTCCCAAGCAGGGGTGTGCAGCACATTGGTGGGCAGCTCAGGGCATGGGCTGTGCTGCCAGCGAGCCTGGGGGCTTGACACGGAGTGGAGGGGGTCTCTGCTCCCCTGCTGTCCTGGGCAGATACTGGGAGGTTACTCAGAGCAGAGGCAGAGCCAGGGAGGAGCCAAGATGCTCGATGTATAA